AATTATTTATTATTACCAATAAAATGTTAGGCTTATGATATAACAGTTGTACGACAATCAAGATTATTTATCGAATTTAAAATTATTAGAGTATTAATTGCATTGGAATTTTCATTTAAGTTTTAGAATTTGATGATATATCTTGCTTTACTATTATATTAAACAAACACTAATCCATTCACCTAATTTAAAAAATTACTTGTAAAAAGTTTATATAAAAAATCTGTAAAATATTAGTGTATAAAAAACAAATATTTTATATACCTACACTAATTTATATTTTGCCATAAATTTAAAAGCTATTGTACATGGCCAGATTTTTCTAACAAATGTTAAACTCTGTATAATTTAAATGAATAAGTCTTCACATGAATTTATATTATACCTGCACTGGATGCATTTATAATGAAATCGAATAATATGGTTATCTATTTTTAAAATCAGCGCGATAATTAAATTATATTCATTATTCGAACATGGTTATGAACATATTTGCAGTAATTAGGATAATAAATATACAATTTAAAAAATCAATTTAATGCAATAATATTAAATTTAGATCAGTTATAATTTTGCAACATTGATTTCGATATATGATTATTTATTTTTTAAATAATATACACTGAACTTAAAATTGAAATGAACTGAAATCGCACATAAGGTTGCTAAATAATTTAATAGGGTTATCATCCGCATGTTAATTATTATTTTTTATTAATCTTTTAGATTATTTATCGTTTCTCAATTTAAATTTTATGCGTGACCGATTTTGACTTCAATTGTGCAACCTAATTAAGTGAAAAACTAAACATTGAATTTGATCCAAAGAAAAGGGTTACCTATTGTTTTGATTTGATTGAGAAGCGGAGATCAAGTCCGGCACGTGTTCGAAGTTTTCTTGTTCAACGAAAGGGTTGTGATTTAGGGCAATTGCCTAATTAATTGTGTTTATATGCTTGTGTTTTGTGTGTACATATTTCAGGAATGACGGATTTCATTAAATGCATTATTTGTGATAAACGTGCGAATAGCATGTCTGAAATGCATTTGCATCAAACGACATGTCATTCGATTGATCAGTTTTCTTTAATAATATTATCGCGCAGAGAATCCAAGATTGAAAATGGTGAGTTAATTGTGTGATACATTAATCCACCAATAAATAATTAATTAAATGTATAATATTATATGATTGTAACCTAATTTCATTAGTTGTAGAAAATTTGACGAAAAATGACAAAAACAGCAATAATTCTAACAGAAAAAAATCTAAAACTAGTGCTTCTGTTTTGCAACAAGAATTAAAAGATTGTGTCACAGCTATTGATAAAGTATTGCAATCTTCAAATAAAACTGAAGGCAGACGTAAGAAGAATCCAAGACCTCGAAAGAATGATAAAACTGAAACAGCTAAAAAACAATGTACAATAACTACTTAATGGTATTTTATTTATTTAGTTATAACTTTATTTGTGGTATATGAAAATTATGACTGATTTACATGATGCTTAAAATAGGTGCTATTATAGAATATATATATATATATATATATATATATATATATATATATATATATCAAGTAACGGCAACCAAACTAGAGTTAGAGGATCAAATCTTTTTATATTTATATTTGTGCAATTGTAATCAGATGCTCTTATAGCACTAAAGAAATCATCAAATAGATCTTGGTGAATAGTTTATGCACACATACCCAGGAAACCTGACTAAAATATATATATATAGTATATGTAAATTGGTCATTATTATTTATAGGCTTAGTGTGTAAATGATTTAGTATGCAAATTAATTTTAATCAATAATTAAATCTAAAATTCATATGTTAGATGCCAATGAAATAGCAGATGGAGTGCAAAATATTGGACCTGAAAAAGAAGTCGATGAAACCAAGCCAATTCAGCAACCAGAATTATCAACAACAATCAACACTCCTTTGAAACGATCACTAGGCAAAAAGCCTACTAAGCCTGCAAATGTAAAAATAAGTAAAGCCAGTGAAACAACTAAAACACCGACTGATGTCATTCGAAAAAGAACAACTGTATCATCAACTAATAGGAGAGAAAAAGTTAGTCGATGCTCCCAGAACAAGAAATGTGCAATATTGGAATCTGTATTGGTCGCAAAAGGTTCAGTCAGAAAGAGAAACCAAATTAATGTAATAAATCCCACCAAAATGAAACTTATTTTTCCACAAGCCAATAATCAAGAAGTAAAAGCAAAAGAAGATGTTACCTGGAATAAGGCTTACCAGAATTATGTTGATGGATTGCAAGTTGTAAAAGAAATTCCAGTTGTTCAAGCTGATTATACATCAAATAATGCACTCAATTTTCAAAATATCCTTACAAAACAAAATCAGAATCAAACACCATTTACTGATAAAAATGAAGGATACGAGTTTAATAATAACAATCATCAACAATCATCAGAAGGCCGTATTCAAAATCCTTACCATTTGCAAGATAACCTTGGCAATGATTTATTAAATAAGACATTTATTGAATCTAATGATTTAATTAGCGATTTGAGGAACATTGCACCAGAGCACCTAGTAAATAATTTGAATGATGATTCAAATCTCGATAGCATTTCAATGGGCTTAACAAATGATGTAAAAGACTTCATTGTTGAATTTTTTGAGGAAGAGCAAAATGCTGAAACGAGAAATCCTTATTGGGAAGATAATATGAATAAGTACTTTCCATCTGAAACAAAAAGTAGTTCAGAAATTGAACAATTTAATGATAATGCTGACAAATATATGAATGGCAATGATGAGATGCCTTTGAATTTAGTTATAAGAGAAATTGATGTACCGATCAATCAAGAAAGCTTTAATAATATTTTTTATCATACAACTTACACATCTAATTCAGCAAATAAAGCGATATGTAAATCTACTTGGAGTGAGGAATATATGAATAGCCAAAATGCAAATTTTTGGGCATCATACAATGTTAACAAGCGACCATATGAATTTTCGTATGCATACAAATATAAACTTTTTTGTCAAATATGTGGTGATCAATTTCTGAATAATATTGCATTACAAGCACATTACATTTCTTGCAGTGGAATAAATGACAACCAGAGGGTAAAGACATCGGAAGAAAAAATGTTGGAAGAACACTTCCAAAAAACATTCATTGGAGGTGAGCCTGGCATGATGGTTTATAATTCTGAAATTCAAGAAAATAATATGAATTTGACTCATTTTAAATATGAATGCCATGCATGTCAGACAGGATTTAAAAACGGCACTAATTATTGCAAACATATGTTGGATCATAAAAAAATTTTTGCACAAGGAAAATATGTAATATGTACTGAATGTGGTTTGTATATCGAAAATTTTAACATATTGAAAAATCATTTTCATAAATATTCTTAACAATTATCATTATGTTATTTTTGTTTGTTATTAAATGAGAAAAGTTTTTTGAGAAAACTTACAGCTCTGATTGTACATGTTATCTCATTCAGAGGTACTTCCTCTATTATTTAATTTAGTGTTTAAGAAACATTCAGTTTTTATGTATTGAGTTATATCTTCACTGATATTGTGGAACTGATTATTTGTTGTTTTTTGTCAAAGAGTATATTGTATAATGTATATAATTATGTGACTTCATTCTATGAAATTATTATACTGTTTGAAATAGAGATTTAATTTGTTGAATAATGAAAATGAAATATATGTTTTTTACACTATTATTCTGTTATGTTTATGGGTATGCAGAAAGATAAAATTATTAAAGTTGAAATATATATATATATATATATATATATATATATATATATCTACTTTTTATTAGTTTAATTGCACCTCATCCGAACATTGCTGTTCTGATACTAGCAAGAGGAGGTTCAAAAGGAATACCTTTGAAAAATTTGCAAAAAATTAATAATAATTATTATATTAATAAGTATTATTTGTTTTTTGATGTACATTGTTTTTTTTTTTTTTTTGTTTAGATGATAGTGGATTTGGCGGACATGGAGGTGGTGGCGGAGGCGGTAGCGATAACAGGCGTGGTGGTGGGTGTGTATAATTTATTATTTTGTTGTGATAATTTATCACAATTAGAGTCAGAAATTAACATACTTTTGTTTATTTTCTTTTTAGTGGTGGCTTCTCTAATTATTCAGAAACAAGAAATTCAACAAAAAGTAATACTTATTCAAGTTATCAATCTACATCAGGTGCATATTCCTCTGGTTCATCTTCACGAGTTACCAATGATAATAGAGGTAACAATTTGTTAATTAAGTTTTTGAGCATATGAAGTATAATAGTTTGTTCTCAATTATATTATTTGCAGATAATTCCTTTTTCCCAAATAAATCAGATGACAAAACTAGATCACATGGTGGTGAAACTGACTTTAATGTAAATGATGATTTTGATTGTATGATTACAGGTAAAATTATTATTAATTTTGTTGAAATATTATTAATAACTTCTACAAGTATCATACTATTTTTTATATTATTTTCCTGTGTATTACTTTCCTGTTTTTTTTTTTCAATTTTTAATTCTAAAATTTAAAATTTACTAGATTTTTTTTTCAGATATGGATTGGGACGATAACTTTAATGAAAATGGTATTGTTGACAGCAGCATACAACAGAACGATAATAGCAACTCAAATTACAGCAGCACCAAATTTACTCGTAATTATAAAAGTCTAAGGGCACAAACGGAAAATAAAGACTTTTCAACTAATCAGAAACAAACATATGGAGGGAACAGTTCCGGCTGGCATCAAACTAAACATTCTAATAGAAAGCAAAATGATGAAAAAGAGGTTTTATGCAGTGGCTGCCAAGAACCAGCTAGAAAGTAAGAAAAAAAATTTTACAATCATGATATACTCCTGCATATTTTATACTGAGGATTGTTGTTTGATATTTTTTAGACAGACTGTAAAAAAAGAGGGTCCAAACAAAGGCAGAAAATTTTATGTATGTCCCAAACCTATGGAACAACAGTGTAAGTTCTTTGAGTGGGCAGAAGATGAACCTGAGCATGATAGCAATGAATCAAGTAAGCACTAAAATAATTAAAAGTATATATAGTTTAAGACATAGAGATATACAAACATATATGCTATGTAAATTTTATTATAGCTAACAACTGGTCAAGTAAACCTTCAAAGTCAAGAAAGACTTCAACTACAGTTTCAAAGAGAAAAACAACTTCTAAGGCAACTGGTACAAAACCCACTTCAAAAAGAAAATGTGGCCAATGTCGACAGGAAGGACACACAATTAAAAATTGTCCAAATATTAGCCATGTATGATATCTCAATGAAAAATGAGACGGTAATAATTGTTTTAATTTTTTTTAACATGAGTTTTAAGCATTACATTTTAAAATAACACTATATATGTATGAACATATGTATATATATATATATATATATATATATATATATATATATATACATATATATATATATACTAGCATACCCAGCCTTGCGTTGCAACGGCCCTTATTAAAATCCATCTGATTGAAATTTGAATCCGTTTGACAACCAAATTTCAAACCTTTTGTTATAAAAAATTTATATCAATCCAAAAATAAATAAAATCCGGATTATTAAACATTTGAATAAATGAGTACATTACAAAATGTATAATGAATAACCAAGTGATTTTTATAAATTTGTTATATCTTATTTGGTATTACGTTCTATTTACCTTCAGCTAACATTTTAACATGTTCTACGATGCTTTATTTAGGAATGGTTTCACATACTATTGGTCACATACTATTGGGAACTTGCTATAATCCTTTAATATTTTTTTTGAAAATTTTCCATAAATTTATGATTAGACACTCATCGGATTTCAATGCATTTTTTTAAATTTGTTATTACTTACGAAACACTTATAATATAAATTTCCGACTATACATTCATATTCATACTATCCCCGAAACTAACATGGAAAAAGTTCTGAGGAATTCGAGTCCAAATCTATTAAATGTTTGATTTTTGGCACTTCGAAATTTAATATGATATGATATAATATTCAGTTTTCAATCATGATTTCTATTAATTTTGTGATGTTTATCTGAATGAACAACTTAAGCAAATTAAATCTTAATCATAAATCAATTTATTCATAAATTTCCCGGAATATTAACAAACGTCATTTTCGGCATTTATTTAAAATTCGTAACCGCCCAAATTTATTTAAATTTGATAAATTTTATTGCCTAAGTTGCAATAATTTAATGTATTTGTGCCTATTGGAATTCGTTAAAAATATTAATTCTTTTGACCTGTCAAAATTTTGTTTATGATTAAAGTTAAATTTAATATGTCGCTTTTTCATTCTGATCTATTATGTTTTGAGGACGTGTTAGTATCCGAACTAATATGTTGAGCAAACCAAATAAATATAAATTATAAATTTATTCATCTAATACTTTCCATAGATATGGATAATTGACATTTCACTTTTTTTAGTTTACAACTATCAAAATTTATTTAAATCTATAAACATTATATATTTCTATTATTTTGAATATAGCATTTTGCCTAATTTGGATATAACTGTTGTATATATTATATTATATCTGTCCCTTTTTCAATTAGTAAAAATAATATATTTTTAGAATTGTCATTTTTTTTTTCAAAAATCATAAATCGTTTTTTCTCGAAGTTTCCATAAATATTGACATTTGTCATTTTAGTGTTTTGTTTTTTTTTAGTGAATTTCTGTCAAAATTTATGGAAATTTATAAATAATATAAAACTAAATAAATATTTCCTTCTTGGTCGAAATTTAATATAATATGATATAATATATTTTTCAATAATGTTTTGTATCTACAATATTACCTATAACAAAACTTGGAATAATTAATGTATTTGTTTTTTATTGAAGTCGTTAAAAATTCAATTTTTCTGAACTGTCAAAATTTTGTTTATTATTAATGATTAATTTAATATGTCGTTTTTTTATTGTGATCTATAATGTTTTGAGTGGTTTTGAGGAAGTTTTGGTATCCGAACTAACTTCGTAAGCAAATCAAATAAATATAAATTATAAATCTATTTATCTAATAATTTTTATAAATATTGACAAATGTCATTTCACATTTTTTTAATAACTTTTATTTAAATTTATGAACATTGATTTTTAATTAGATTTAAAATTATAAACAGTGATTTTGAATGTAGCTTTTCATCTAATTTGGATATAAATGTTGGATATATCTATATATGTATATGTTTTTGAACTGTCAATTTTTTTTTTCAAAAATCATTAATCTTTTGTTCTCGAATTTTTCATAAATTTTGACATTTGTCATTTTAGTGTTTTGTTTTTTTTTTGGTCATTTTCTGTCAAAATTTTTAGAAATTTATATAAATTATATATTTATATTTCAAATTTACTGTTCAAAATTTCCTATAACCTAAGTTGGATATATATGCACACGATGAGCCAATAAAATTTAAAATCGGTCCAGTAGTTTGGGCGTCCATCGCGAACCAACATCGTGACACGAGATTTATATATATATAGATATATATATATATGTTGAAAATGTTTAAATTTGATGTTGAAATGTATGATAGATTTCTTGGAGGGCGTAACATCAAGTAAAAAAAGTAAAGTAAAGATTTTCTTCAAGACATCTTTATATTTCCATACGTTTCGACGTAAAATTCTACGTCATCTTACACAAAATTCCTATCCCCCACATCTTATAAAATCCGTCACAAACAATAGACTCACTTTTTTAAAAAACAAAATAACTAACCCCAACCTAAGTTTAATTTCCACAAAAGATAATAATTTTGAAGGTACCATTTAATATTGTTTTCAATCATTTTTAACTTCTCAATTCTTAACTTTGGCCTTTATATGTTTTATTTAGGTAGAATTAGAATGTTCTGAAAAATTTTTTTTTTATCATGCTTACAATTGTAAGTATGATAAAAAAAAAATTTTCAGACATACTGTTGATGAACAAATATGATGTTGTATGCGAGTGGACTTACTTGACATATACAATTTATTTATATAATCAGTTAATATTGCCGTTGTTCCGAGACTATTTTCTTAAAGTAAAATAACAATATAAAGAAAATATTAGAAGTACCTTCCTCAGGACCTCGCTAGCATTACCTTCGTGCTGCGTATGGCCCCAGCCAGTTGCTATAGCTTTTTATTAGTAATTTCATTATTTTTTGGCAAACAGATTGGTATTACTTGCTTGTTTAAGTTCACTCTGAATATAAAAATAGAAAATAAAATAGTCATTTTTATTCAGGTTATGATGATAAAACTACCAAATTAATTCAAGGTTTTATTGATTGCTATGTGGTGCTAATTCAAAATGCATTTTAAACTTACATTCTATTCAATTTCAATAATCCTACATCATAATATTTAGAATTGGGCTTATATTCTGGATGCCTCAATCTTTCTGAAACGGTGAAGAGTTGAGAGTATTCGAAATTTTTGGGTGTGCCTGAATCAAAATCTGTAACACCCAACTGCACGAAATTCACAGAACCTCTGAAAAGTAGTTTTCGTTAAACGAGAACGAAAAAATAATATTATGCTCAACTTACAAATTTTTGTCATAAACACAATGAGCTGCCGTTAAGACAAAGTTATCACTGATCAAAGAACCTCCGCATGCCCAAATTATATTGTCTTCTTGGCCATAACCAAGACGCGCCTGTAATGAATCAGTACAACTTAACATTCTTACAAATTATTGATTGTACATATATTTAATATATTGTTCATGGATATAAATATACCATGTGCGGAAATTCGCGGTTCTGAGCTTTTTTCCGCCTACTATAAAAGGTACTACCGTGTGTCCACATCGGTTCACGAGGACCTTTTTTGCAGAATTTGTTAGAGTGGGTAGAGTGATTTTTTCGCAAACTAAATGCGAATATTCTATACATTCTGAAAAGTTAAAAATGTAATGTTCTTACGGTACCAAATAAATAGATTATATGACATTTATATTTTTAGAATTTATTTCTATTTTTGAAATTGTTTGTCTTAACTGTTTTCCGCTTTGTCTTCGCCACTACCAAGAGGTCTAAGATTTTTGCAAGGATTTTCTTTTTTCTCTGAATTTGGTTGTGTTTCTGGTGCATCTTCCGATGTTGGGCAACATACTAAATGGCTTAGTTCACCAGGGCAGAAAGTTGGACTCGAACCAGATACAATCAGACTTTGAATAGCGGGACAAGAAGACAAATTCGAACAATCACCATGTCGATTATCATTAGTTGTGCATGTTTTGCCTTAAGAAATCAGTCTATTTAGTTTTTTTCTATTGCAAGTTTAAATTAATTCGAGAAATAATATTGATTAAAGTCTTTATATATATATATATAAACGAGAGAAAATAGTGGCCATTTCTTTATGATAAAGCCTCAAAGTTTAAAAAAAAAATAGTTGGAGGAAGCAAAGCTATACACCTAATAAAGAAATAATAATAATTCAAACCTAAGAATAGCTATAATAATAAGCATCTACACATTATTCTTTCAAACAAAGTTAACATTGAAACTGATGATATTTATTTAGGGTTCATCTTATATATAAAAATGGAGCTGTCTTTCAAATGTCCGAATAAAACTCGAAAACGGCTGAATGGATTTGGCCAGTCTTAGTCTTGAAAAATTCGTGCCAATCCAGAGATTGTCCAAAAGGTGAGATAATATTTCAAATCCGCGTAGAAACTTTACATTTTTAATTTGCAAATTTTTGGTAAACAGCACTTGATTCAAAATGGCTTCCCACACAATATTATTCAAATGACAGATGTATCGCATACTCATATGTCAAAAGGTTTTGACAATTTAAAACAGATTATGTGTTATTCTTTTAATTTTAAAATTTAATTATTTATATATTTTTAAATGTTAATAAGAATGCTTATTTTGATTTTATATGAGGTTTTTATTTAATTCTCAAGTGTTTGCTCACTGCCTATTTGTATTCTTTTATCAACAGCTTGAAATAATACTATTATTATTGATTGATTAAGGCTGGCTCATGAAAAAATAAATAAATAAATTTGTTTCAAACGCTGTGCTGTGCAAGTACTTATTGGTTTAATGTGAATAATGTGTTACCATAACATTTTCTGAATTATATTATTATTGCATATAGGTTATTCAAATTGAGATCCTAAAATTGGAATTCATCGAAGGGGACACCATAGACAGCGATATGAATAAGAAAATTGGATTATAACACAGATAGTAATTTTAGAAATCATATTCATAAAACTCTCAATTATGTGTACATA